TTGAATCGCTTTTCTTTTTTAAAAAAGCATTTTTGCTCTGCTCTTGGCTGGGGCACCACAGAGCTGCACAGCAGAGCAGTTTGGTTGCAAAAGGGAGCGCAGATAAAAGGCTAGTCCGGTGCAAGGGCTGGTGTAAGAGTCGCGTCCGCCGAATTCGGTGGGATCGGTTTGGGAGTCAAAGGAGATGCGGGCGGCCACGCTCAGCGGGAAATAAGCGCTATTGAATTATCATTTACTTCCTTCTGAGTAAATAGCAATAGACACTCTGAAATGGCAGGAATTTAAGCATCCCTGCATTACATCAAACATGTATGAATTAGCAACATTGTGGAGAGGAGTGAGAAATGGGGGCCAAGCACGGCAAGCGAGAAGAAGATTTAAACGCGACCTAGAAAGCCGCCCCAGTGGCTCATGGCTTGGGCCCTGTGATCGCTTCCCACGTTGTTGAAATACGTGCCTCAGCCGGCCCAATCAGCGGTGTCCAAGGCGAGGAAGGAATTATGGGACTTGTGGTTCATCTCCATCTGGAGAGTTACAGCTTCCGGACTAACTACTGTCACTCTAAATTAACTTTCCTTTTGTTCAAGGAAGCTAACTCTGAGATATAAAATTTTCAGGAGTGTTGGGGAAGTGGCCTTTTTGGTTTGTTCTGAGAAAAATAAAATGGGGGGAAATTGAAAGCCTTTTCTGTTTAAGAGGCACCTTTTACTAATCTAAATGTCACTTTATTTCTTTAAGAACAACCGAAAAACCTAATACGTAACTTGGTTTGCTTATTAATTATTACATTTTATCATATATTAAATTTAAAAGTATAGTTGATTCTTATAAAAATTTGCTTAAGTAATTGATTTTGTCATAATAGATGAGTAAGAATGTGAAAATATGTACCACTGAGTGTCTTTTTGTTTGTGGTGAGTACAAATCTGACAAATAAATGTAGGTAAAATAAGAGTTTAATATACTGAATTCAGAATTTTCAGTAGAGAATTATGGAATCCTTTCAGTTCCTTTCAGCTGGTCTAGCCTTTTATAGATTTGGAGGCTGGAGGCTGTGGAGACAAGCCTCAACAACAGTCTTGACATTGTCTATCACAAACCACTTCCTTGTTTCTAATCTCTACAGCTATTTTGGCCAAAGCAATCTCAAATTTTGAAAGCATGTTGTGAATGCTTTCAAAAAGTGTAGTCATGATCATTCATCTAGTGCAGTGTTTTTCAGACTTGATAACTTTAAGATGTGTGGACTTCCAACTCCCAGAATTCCCCAGCCAGCATGCTGGCTGGGGAATTCTGGGAGTTGAAGTCCACACATCTTAAAGTTGCCAAGGTTGAAAAAGACTGATCTAGTGGTTGTCTGGGTGGAAAGCCAGTCACAAAATGTCTCTTAGAAGGCAAACAGGCACAAACACCAGTTTGTGGGCAGCTGGCACTTGAGCATAGCAACATTTCAACCTTCCATTTATTTTTAGTTAAAAACATGTAAAAGGGAGCTGGACTGTTGCAGAGCCAAGATCCTGGTAGGCACAAGGGAGATATTGGTGGATACATTGGTGTTGTGAGCTCATGATAGAGACTGGCTGTATAGCATATATATGTGTATTGTACCTACTCCGTTTCCCTCTTGGTCTTTTAATACCTAGTCAGCTGACAAGGAAAAAGGAGGCAGTCCACCGCTCCCTACAAAGGTGAACAAAACAGCCCAGAAACACAGAATCATTTTCTATCTCATGTAAAAATGGCAGTGCCTCTTGGAGACAGAAATACCTATTGTTCTTGCAAGTGTAGCTCGTCCTCTGTGTAGCAGGTATAATAATTATGCATACAAATGACTTCCTCCTGCATATTTTCTAATAATTGTAGGGGGGGGTAACAATTTCAACCTCCTTGTAAATATTTTATTCATTATTCTGAAACAAAATATTTTTCATGGCAATGTTTTAAAAGTCGAGCTGTTCAGGTAAAAGGTACAGAAAGGACTCTCTGGGCAGGCTAGGGGGGATGTTATTTAAACCAAAAAAAAACCCTCCCTTCTCTCCTAGTCTTCACAGCCGTACTTACCAAGTAAAGATATTATCTTTTATTATCTTAATCACTTTCTTCTCACCAATCCACAGCCTGTATAAGAACTAAAATTGTTGTACTCCTACAAATTACATGGAGTTAAACCTAAAAATAGAAGTTGTAGCAACTATTCATATATGTTTACCAGATATTAAAAATAAAGCTGGAATTAAGAATTAATATCTCCCTTGACCATAAGTTGCTTGGAATAAGGTAGGATTTAAGTATTATAAACAACATCATCTCAGTTCTGTAAGATGCCAACCATATCACACTGAGTCTTTTGACATAAATATCCAGTACTTGAAGTTGCAGTCGTATGTACAGTATGCACTGAGAATTAAAGTTAATTAAACACAATGCCCCTGTTTCTACAACACACTTAACCCAGTCTATCACTAACCCATTAAACATAGTACAACAGAGTTATTTGTAGTCCGGCAGCCCACAATCACACTAACTGGGTCAAAAAGTCACAATTCTGGGAATATCCTCTTTTTCCTAGAAGTGCCTGGCATGTTCTGAGTTGTCATGCTAGGTGGACAGCAAAGCTTCATGACATAACTAGTCCCCCTCAGGCAGCCCTGGATCGTTCACCACCATAATCAATTATGTTTGGGAACTGTGTTCTGAACTAGCAACAGTCTTAATATTAATTATTATCTTGGCAATAAGTTTTGTACATTTCACCCATTCTTTCTCTCCATCTCTTTTTCTTGGAGGACTAGGTGGGCAAAATGGCTCAGTTGACTGGGTTTAGTTGGTCCCAAAGCACAACTGACTGGGTGGAATGAGTTTAACTCTGTGCATGAGAGTCTGTTTAAGGCTAAATTTAATTCACTGGGGGCAGGTGATTGGATCAACTGGCACATTCTTGGTGTTCCCACAAACACATTAACTGTCCATTAACCCAGTTAAACATATTGTGAGAACAGGGCCACTGAGTTTTTGTTTTCAAACCAGCCTGCATAGGAAATGCTTCAATGTTCCCTCCTTCCATAAGTCAAATAACCTGAAAGTTCTGGTTTTGAATTGATAAGCTGTGCAATCCAGCCAGTGGACCTACTCACTTCACTGGTGCTTTTAGAGACAAAGCACCTGGTGTTGCTATTCAAAAGACAATGCACCATTTTCCTATCTTCCTTCATCATTATTTTGTGTGAAAAGAGATGGAAGGCCTGGTGGGGAAAAAAAAATTAAACCTAGGACAAGATAGCTGGTCTTCCGGTAAAATTCCTTTAAGGAGACAGAATGATGGCATGACAAATTCCTCATCTGGAAATACCTTTTTCATAGATCAGTGTATATATAATTACAGCCAGAATGCTTAATTTGGTGAGGTGGGAATATTACATATCCTCCAACTGCTAGCTAACAATGTCCGATTTGGCACCAGTTGACTTTGTTTTACCAATTAGTCCACTTAAAATTCTTCTCCAAATGTGTAAAGAAATGTACTCTTTAATTAAATGTGGCTGAAAGGAAAACTAGAGTATATTCGCAAATAATGCATATTTAAAATTGAGGAACTGTCTTAGATTCACTGAGAGTATGATAAAAAACAGGAAAAAAAATCTGGTAGCATCTGTCATAGACTAACATGGTTCTTGGCCTCCAATGAGAATATGATAATAAAAGCAAATATGACTTTCTATCTAATCTTGGGGGGAGGTCTCCCTCCTTCCATGTACATTTTCTTAATTCTTTTTTTTTAAAGGAGTAGGACTGTTATTGTTTCTTTGACGTTATTCACCTGCTGGATGAAATCTGTTTTATATTCAGTAAGGTCTATCTCATTTGGGCTGCTTGATACCTCTTGCATACCATCTTGAGAATCTTCCAAGTACAAGTGTTTGCACGTCAACATCTGGCCCATTTTTTTTTTCCTCTCACCTTTCCTATTTGCTTTCACATTCAGCCTGAAGAATGCAACATTATTTATTTTTATGACATTTTTGTTGGCCCAGTGTCTGTAGCTTCACAAGTACATGTGTGATTCTCCGAAGCATTAAGGGATAGTTGTTCCTATATGAACTCAACACAGTTTTGTTAAAAACCTAAAATGGAAGAATGGGCTTGAACACTTCAGGGCACCATTTTCCAGCTGAGCCCTCTCCATACATACACTGAGATTACAACTCCAAGTGTTCCCAGCCAACATAATCCGGGGGAAGGCAGTCCCAGCCTGTATGGAAAACAACTGGCAAAGGCTGCTTCACACTTTAGGTCAAGAGGGGGAAATCTGCAGCCCAATTTTTCAACACAACGCCTAGCAGCCCCGTCACTCCGGCCATTGGCCAGGGATGCTCCAAGTTGTCCTTCAACGGCCGGTTGTAGGTTACCCACCTCTGCTGAAAGCAAAGATACAGATATTGTAGAAATTTAATCACTTCATATACTAAAACAAACTCACCTAATCCACCCTACTTTTTATGAGACTGGTCCTTATTCCTACTTTATTTAACAATGGAAGTATTTTTTTTTCCTCTCATTTCCTAGATACATTTTCAGAAAAACTTCACTGAGTATTTTTGTGAGTGAGTTCCATCTTGTTCCTGCAGAAGGTGTTTTCAGCACAATCCTATGAGTACTTATTCAAAAGTCAATTGCTTGCATTCACTTTAAAAATTCCAGTCAGGTCTAGAATTATGGACTCGGGCTCCAACCATCAGTTCTAGCCTTGCTGAAATCAGTGAGATTTATACTTCTCAATAGATACACAGGACTGTAGTGGTAATTAATAAATCAATTAATTGTTAAACGACGTTATTTAAAATATTGCTGCATTTTTCTAACTTATCATTGATTATTAATTCATTCTATTTCTGGAAAATAAAACCATCTAGTAATGATATAAGAACATGATCGGTAGCACAGAGTTTTGCTAAAGCAGATTTGACCAAGAGATTTAAATGTCACTCAGGAACATTTGCCTGTAAAATACCAATTTATTTTAATACTTAAAAAAAATAATAAATCCAGTGATAAATGTTCATTATCAAGAATCAGCATAAAGTGCCAAATAGCAATAACTTTAAACCAAAAACATATTGGAATGTCTCGCCTTTTTTTTTTCTTTTTACACTGCTTAGAAAAAAAAAATAAAGATGATTCTAGATAAAATGCTCATGTTGAGATTTGTCAGCAAACTCTCCTGCCCCCCTTTTATAAAACTCAGTTCACTCTCATCTGGACACATGCTAACTTGAAAGTACCACTGAGACCACACTGTGCACAGCAGTCACTTTGATTTATTGTTATCAAGTTTCCCTTTTGTCACCTTGGTTGTTTTTTGCTGGTTGGCTGATTTTGTTTGCTTGGTTTTCCTTCCAATTTTTCTTTCAAATTACAAACTACCTCCTAAGGCACCAGACCACAAATAAACAGAAACTGCAGGATGCTCACCAGAGCATGCAGAAGAGATCCCCACAACCCCCGTCCACCAAAGACAGAAGTGTTAAAATCTGGAGAAGATGGCAGGGCCTCCTTCATGACATGAATCTCCTCAGACTGTTTCCTCTTTTCAACACAGTTTATCAGTGATCTTCTCTCCCGTGTCAGCTGTGGCCCAAATGTGGAGTTAGTGATAATGATCTTCTAGATTTTCTTTTCCAAAGGATATAAAGGAGACACTTTTAAACAAGTCACTAAACTTAATTAGGGAGGTAGAAAGCTATTTGTTGTTTGTATTTAAGCTGAGGACAAAGCTCCCTCTCCAATCCTTGAGCACCACCTTTTGACGTAAAGTTTAGTGAAGTCATGCAGGATTTACACTTGGAAGTACCCAGGTTTTGGAAAGACTGACTGCATTTTTTGTGCATATTGGGTTGTGGTTTTCTTGATTTTTTTTTAAGTATTAAATTAATTATGTTCAGTGTTCCCCATTGTCTCTGTCAAGAATTTGATCTAAAATGTAGAGTGAAGTGGAGAGATGAAGTTCATGGGGGCTAGAATCTTTAGCATTTCATTTTGGAAGGTTTAAGTTCCTTTACTTGTGTGTGCAGTGTCTTGTGAACAGCTAGAGTCCTGGACTGGCAAAATCCTTTTCCACATTCTTGACACTTAAAAGGCTTTTCTTTTGAGTGGATATATCTGGGAAGAGAAAATAAGAGAAAGAGAGAAAGAGAGATGTTTAATGTACAGTTAACCTTTCCAGCGATATATAGTTCTGTTTCAACTTGCTGGAATTCAAACATTTGATGAAAAAAAAAAAATTAAAGGGAGCTTTGTTATACTGAAGAAAACTATAATCACTCTGGATTTGGATGCAGAATTAATTTTGATTCCATTATGCTTTACTGCTTAGACAGTGGCATCTTTCGCTAGCTTTATGCCATATATACAATACATACATGATTATGTAATGATGCAACTGCCATGATCATGTGCTTGTATCAGAACGCACATTTGCAGCATTTTTGTGATTGTCATCACACACGTCACCATTTGCTGTAACCTTGCCCACCCTGCAAAATGGTCAATTACACAGAGCTTTATGTCATGCAATTTTTCTGTTAATATCAGCATGAAGTTCTGTCCCAAAATGAACACAAAGAGATACATTTTTCCTTCTTGCAACTGGATGAGAAAATTCAATAAGCAAAGAACCAACACACCCAGAAAATAATTGGATTGGAAAGTTTGATTTAACTGCAATATCCAGTTCCATGTTAGTAACATCAGTAGAATTTATATAGCAGTTATATATCAGTAGGTCCCACTGTTTTCAGACAATTCTGAAATCATGTTTTCAACTCCCATTATGTTTAATAGTGCTTACTCTTAGTGAAAGGTGGAAAGGATTAAATCGTAAAAGCACTGTACATTAGGATGACCATATCTGGGCTGAAAAAAACCCAAATAGCAAGGAGTTAAGAGTATCTTGGCAGTCATCTAGCAGTCTTCTGAACGTCAGCAGATTACACAGAGTAGCCTTAATTTATACACGGATTTTTTGGATAGCTAAAGGAGAAGGATCCAAAAAAACATACTTTTTTCAGTTGTTTAAAATCAGTGATCCAGGAAGGTCTCCAACTTTAATCAGAACAGTCCTGGAGGAGGAATTTTTAACACTTCTGCTATCTTTAAATCTGCCTCCCAGAACTGCTATTAGTCCTGCAGTAGACAACATAGAAGCCTTTCTTATTTCCCATCTCTAAAATTGGAAATCATTCTAAAGTTACATTGTCATGGTAGTATGACAGTCTATAAATGAAATAACCAAAAGATCCTAATTATTTATAGGTTCCTAATTGTTTTTCTAAACTCCATTAACATTCACTTGGCTTTCCCTGCTCAAATATAAAAGAGGGGCAGAAACAATCAATTGATCGAAAAGTCCAGAAATGTTAAAACTAGAACGAACAATGGAAAAAGAGAATTCCCAAAGGAGCTTCACCCAATTAACAAGCATGTGTGCCACAACTTTAAACTTGTTTGAAAGCAGCTTAACTATATTGGTTTATTTATAAAGCACATTTCTTATTTTGTTAGGGTGCTGAGAATTGTCTATTAGATTTCAGTATAAGTGTTCATAATCCTTATATTAATGCTACATTTTGAAACTGGTTTAAATGTGTAGAGTAGGCATACATTTATCATACCAGTAAAAATATGGAAATCCATACCAAATGAAGCATTATTATAAGTAAGATTTAATGTGTTTTCCTTTGTGTACATGTCATGAAAAGAGTGCACGAAAAGCTACATAAAATCTCTTTGGAAAAATGTTGATTTTGTAATCAGAGATTGAATCTAGTTCTGGCATTAGATTACTAAAGTTTCTGGATGTATTTAGTGGTTTAAAGCAGAGTTCATTGATTGGACTGTTGGGAACTATTATTTAGAGCAGACCATAATGTAACATTTAAAAGAAAGGGGGGAGGGGGGAGAATAGTGATGCATTCTCTGAACAAGAGTTTAAAAACTAAGCAAAGAAAAGTCCTGATCTGCAATGTCGTGATACCAATATGTCTATTCTTAGTTGTTGTTTTTTTCCTGCCTTTTCTGGAGTTAAATGGAACCAAGACTGTAGCCCAATAATTAATTAGCCTCTCCTCATTAAATTCTTGGAACTTATCTCTAAGAAAACAGGTTCAGTAGGATATATTCAAAGGGGCTTTATATGAAATTTCCAGTTACACTTTGAATTGGTAATACATGCTTACTTAAGGGAGGACACAGTTCAAAGAGACCTGTACACTCTTTACATACAGAAGATTCAGGTTTGAGAAGTTATACCATTGCTGTTCACATGGTATCTGTTCTGCCTGGCATAAGCTACTATCTGTACGCCCAGCTAGTAAGTTAAAGTTGCCAGAGGTAAAGCTCTGAAACCTAACTTGTCTGTAATCTAAATGCCATTCCAGGATGGGCAACTAAAGGACCTCCAGATGTTGCTGAACTTCAGCTACCCGGGCCAATAGGGAATACTGAGAGTGGTAGTTCAGTAAAACCTAAAGAAGCACAGGTTTTCCACCCAAACAATGATAAAAGTATAGTATAATATGATTTTTTCCAATAAAATAGTTTTTGTTGTGGTTCTAACTTGCTGTTAAACAAGATCATCTGCACATTTACTCCATAAGCTTAAGTAGCTTAAAGTTGAATGAGGTTTACTCTGAGATGGTATCCTCCAGATATGTTCGACTACAATCCTTAAAATCCTCAACTAGCATAACATTTTGAAGTAAACGGGGTTATCTAGTGGGCATCACTTTGGAGAAAGCTGGTATATAAGACTGAAATGGTCATCAGTGCTGCTCAAACTAAGGAGCATAGGCAATCAGCCATGAGTTAGGGGTGGAAGGGGAAGCACGCAGATTCAATCCCTGGGCACCTACTCAAAGGAGAACCTGGCCTTTGGATTCATGGGGTTACACACCATTAATGTGAGAGACCTGTAACAAAAATTATTACCACCTTCTGCATGGTAATAACAAGGAGGGTGGAACGGGAGAGGATGGGACATATCAGGTTATCAGTGATGCCATCAGAGAAGGATATGAATGTCCATAGGCCCACTCAGGAAAATGAGGAACATCCCAAAGTACCAATCTAGTTGACCCTATTTTGAATTAAATGAAATAATATTTCTTTCACAGGAATGGGAACATAAGACCATGAAAGGCAATCTCTGGAACTACGTAACTGCATCAGTGCTTACAAGAAATCTTATCATCATTTTTCCTAGCTTTCATTTAAGAACTGTTTGCAAATGTTCAAGCCTTACATTGTTAACGTAAAATTATCTGCAAAAAAACCATATCCATCACTTAAGTGGGATGTATTATGCTTAAACCAAAGCAGTACCATGTATAACATGTATTTATGATACAACCTGAACAAGCAATATTATGACAAATTTCCTGAACGATACACCCTAAAATCCTTTATAATAAACCTGGGCTTCACTAAATAAACATATTCAATTAATGGGCATACCTGTGATCCCTCAGGTGATCTTGCCTTCTGAAGGCCTTATGACAAATGTCACAGGTATATGGCCTTTCATCTGTATGGGTTCTTTCATGAATCAAAAGGTTGTATGACTTGGTGAAGTGTCTGCCACAGAATTTGCACACAAACTCCTTCTTGGTTTTGGAGGGTAACCTCCCACGGGTGGGTTTCTTCTCAGGGGAAAGTTTGGTCACTTCAAGCAATGAGCCCAGGCCTGCAGAAGAGCCTTGGTTGTCTATCTGTCCCAGTTTTGAATGATCTTCTTGGGTGGCAGCCACAGCAAGGTTTGCAAAATCAAATCTAGGCTTGGCTTTGAGTGGCACATTTGCCGCTTCATGCTTGGGATGGATGACGTGTGGGAACAATGGGAAGGCAGGCAACTGGAATCTGGCATCCATTAGGCTGGTCACACCAGGCACTTTGGAGAAAGATGAGCGGGGCAAATGCATGGCAGGATAGCCCAAAGTCCATTGGTGAAGGTGAACAGCATGGAGGGCACTGAAACCATAGAGGTTGGGCAGGTGGTCCGAAGGCACTGCAGGCAGGCCATTGAAGGCTTGGAGAAAGGAGTAATTGGTAAGCTGCAGGGAAGGGTGGATGGGTACTGGGGCAGGCAAAGTCTTACTCCCCATGTTGGCAGAGAAGTCTGAAAGAGAAGGCAAGTGCCTGCAAGAAAGGAGGGGAGAAACATAAAACGGGCTGAATAAATGAATTATGGAACAAGGCAGCTATTTCCTTTAATTTCACATAATTATCATGAATAGAAATAAGATGACACAGAAAAGCAGGTATAGCATAATGCTCAAAGAACATAACACTAAGATACTGAGTGGTGAAGTCCTAAGTTCAAATTCTTTCTCTGCCATGACATCAATCTCATTTTGTAATACGACTTCCCTGACAGATTATTTTAAATTATATCTTCATAATAGATGTGAAACTGGATAACCCAACCACTAGGAAGCCTTAAGCTGCTAACGAAAATAGAAGTGCTAAAGGGCAGTGGCAAAAGCCCCTCTTACTTTTTCTCCTGAGGCCTGTTCATTGTCCCTAGTAGCTAGTCTTCTACCTGGTGACAGTGCAGACCTGGTCACAGTACTGAAATAAGATTCAGCTATCACTTCTGAGGGCTTCTGTCCACATCATGTTCTTCACTTCATACAACAAAACATCTCTGGGCAATCGTGTGTGAAGCTTTTCCAGCTGGCCCAGTGGGACAGACCTTGGTGTCCTGGAGACATCAAGTGAGGGGAGGCTATGTTATACCAAAGTCATTTTGATTCACTGTTATAAAAACACAGCCATTCATTTAAAGAAATAGAATGCAATACCTGCAGGGCTGTACAGAAAAGGAACTTAAATTATATCTACCCAGACAGAGAATAAGGATTCAGGGCAGAAACTAAGCCAAGGAAGGACAAAGTTGTGAACTAGTGAAGAAGGTCAAAGATGTTTCAGGACATTTGCTATTAGCTATGAACTATTAGTTAAGTCCTTCTACCCCACAATGTGAGAGCCAGTTTGGTGTAATGGTTAAGACACCAGGCTAGGAACGTGAGTTCTAGTCCCACCTTGGGCACAAAGCCAGCTGAGTGACCTTGGCCCAGTCCCTCTCTCTCGGCCCTAGGAAGAATGAGGCCATGGCAAACCACTTCTGAAATCTTGCCAAGAAAACTGCAGGGACTAGTCCAGGCAGCTACCAGGAGTCAACACTGACTCAAGGGCACATGCGTGCGCGCACACACGCACACACACACAATGTGTGAAGGCTAGAGGCTGGGATAGTCATATCACTGACTTTTATAAATGTTGAGAAAGGGTCGCAGGGGTGAAAGCAAGCAAACTGCCTGGAAGGACATATTCTGCCTGTACAGCAGAGATGCATCTTCCATCTCAGAGCTTCCTTTACTGCTTCTGCTGCAAGAATGGACAGACATTGAGTTTTATGGAGGAAGCAACACTTGTGCAGTATGTCTTTGGGATATTTAATAATAAGCTTATCTTTGGCACATTTCTACTGGCAGACACCTGGTGAATCGGCTCAGGGTGAGCAGATTAGGCACATCCCTTATTCGTTTTTTCAGAAAAGGGGGCTTGGTGTTCCCCAAACATCACCCCATCCCAGATTTATTTCCCTCATGTCACATAACAGGAGCCTACTTCACAGCCAAGAGTGCCCATTTACCCAACAGTAGGAGAACAAAGAGAGATCCGGATATGAGCCACGCTGAACCACGAAGCCACTTTTACTTTCAGCCCCACCTAGACAATGCAGAGCCACGCAGAGCCTCTTTTCCATTGGCGCGCAGCTCTTCGGAAGGAGCCAATGAAAGTTGTCTCGCGCTCTGAATCCGTAAGCAAACCTCTCGCGTTCTAAGCAATGCCGCAGAGTTCCCGCGCGTTTTTTTTGTTTTGTTTTTTTGGAGATCAAGGAAGGCGGGCCGTGCGCGGTCTGGCATCCTGGGAATCAAGGAAGACTGGGGTCCCGCAAACGCCGTTCGCCTTCTTTTTTAAGTGAGGTCCTTGCCTCTTCTCTCTCCCTCCCCCCACCCTGCCGCCCTTTCAACTTTGACCTCCAATTTGCTTTAGAAAGAATTTAACATAGCTAATTTCGAAGCGCTGGTTCTCTGTTGGAAAAAAGTCAGAGGCAGCGACACTGCTCATTTCCCGTATGCTTTCCTCTGATATGAGACACCCACTCCATGAACGGGAAACTGACCAAGTCAGTTGCCGGTCTGCTCCGAAATAAGGCCTTGGAATTTAATGAGACCTACCGTCAGCTATTTCTGCTCTGAGCCACTAACTTAATCCATAGCGAACGACTAGTGATCGAAAATAAGTAAGATCCAGCCTCTCCCACTCCGCCCCACTTTTCTTTCCTGCATATGGAAAGATCCAATGTCCTCTCTCTTCTCACAGTCAATTATAAAAGAAGTGGTTCTGGTTAAAACTTGGATGAGACACCACTAGGAAATCCCAAAGTTGTAATCCTGACTGCAAAATTAAAAACAAAAACGGAAGGCGGCAATAGCAAATCATTTCCTATTGTTCAAGAAAAATTATACAGAAAACTACACGGGCCTGAAGTCTCCAGGAGTTGAACCCGACTTGAGGCTTTTTACTGGTGGGGTGGGGGGTTGTTTTTATTGGATTGTGCTAGGGCTCAGACCAAGCCCGTGGTTTTTCAACCGCATTTCCAAACTGAGGCGGAGAATGGGACCTCAAGCCTAAAACTCGGGAGGGCTGAGCAAGTTCTGAAGCCTCGAGTGCCAGGAATGACTTTCAACATCTCAAGAAGGAAAGGAACTGTAACTCTTTTTGCCAAAGTCAGCGACAAAACTGGCATGGGTTTGAATGGCGCTAACTTACCATTCCCTTCAAGAGGAAATAGGAGATAGAAACACCAGCCGCCTCCAACGGGGAGCCTTCCTTGATGGGAGTACAGTGTTCAACATGCTCACCAGCAATTCTGGGAGTTGTAGTCCATCAGCTACCTGCGGGGCACCCGGAGAGGAAGTTAATTCTAGGCTGAGAATAAAGCGACCAGCCTGGAACCGTTCGTGCCTTCAGGTTAAACAGGCAGAGTAAAATGCGGGCACAGACAGCGGGGAGCGAGGAGGGTTGAACATGGTCTCCCCCTGTTCGAATAACCCTCGTGGCAAAAAAGGACAGAGTCGCTTTATCCAGTTACCCCCAAGGGTCCGTTCAGAAGACCACGAAATCTAAGCCAACCAAGGCGAACGCACTTTGAAGTTCTACCTGAGTCGGATGCCTACCAGTTACGGATGTCCGTACGGATGACCGCCTGCCAAGGTCCAAGACGGTCCTTTGGAACCAAGTGTGCGGTGGCGGCGGCAGCAAGTGAGATTTCAATCTCTGCTCACAATTTGGGCAGTGGGTCCTGAGTTCGCTTCTTGCGTTGCGTATGGCGGGCTATAAGCTCAGTTATTAGGTGTACCTTTTAGGTAAGAAGGTATAAACATAGCTTCTGCCTGATTAGGGGCTGAGGGAGAGTAGGCGGGTGTCTGTTGCCTGAAGATAAATTAAACTATGGGGACGTTTTCTTGGGAAGATTTCCCCTCCTTTCTTTTTAATGTCTCCGTTTTCCCAACGGGGCTCAAGGAGATCACATAGGCAGCCAAGATACACAGGCAAAGTTTCAAAAGAAGAACGAGGAGGAAAGCTTAGTAAAAAAAAAAAAAAGTAAAACTTGGAGAGGGTAGGGGACCCTGTGGCACAGGCTGGCCCAAGGAAACCACCGCCCAGCTCGATGAAAAATCGGTGACCTGTTCGGCAGTTGCGGGGTTGGCAGAGGGGTCCTGCGGAGGACCACTTTTCACGCCGTTTTACGTAGAACAGCCTCAAAAACCAGTCGTGAATCCTAGAATTCCATCGCGTTGACCCAGAATAAGCGAATGTGACATTTCCCCAAGATCTGCTTTTTCTAATTGGATAAATTCAGTGTAGTCGTCGATTAAAGCACATGCACACACATTACTAAGCCAGATTCCTCCCCAACCTCCGCCTCTGTTAACTGTTTGAGAGCCGGCCAGCTGTGGCTGTTCTCTCTCCTTCACCTGCTTAGTCTCTTTTCAGACAGTCTTTATGAAACTCCTTCTTTTAGAGAGTCCCTGGGCAGATCTGAGTGAGAAAAAAGTGGGGGGACGTGATCTGGTGGTTCCCTGAATTTTTGCACTCCAGATCTGGTAGCCCTGGGAGACAGGGGAGCCAAAGCCAGGCCACCGATAGTCAGAAGACCCATTGCTTTTAAGAGTGGCCTGATGTAACAATATCCTCTAGGAATTCCTGAACATTATTTAAGAACTCATATAGGTCGCATTCCTATGCTTATTTGGTTCGAGAATAAACACTATTGGACTCAAGGGGACTATCCATGGAGTACTTAGGATTACATTTGGCAACTGGAATCACAGCAATAGGGCGTCTTTTAGGGGAAAAAATGTCCTAAAGCATGATGCTAGGCATATCCTGAAAGCGTTAATCCCAGAGGAGAATAAATCTCAGCAAAAAAGCAGGCACATTACGGTATGCTCCCGTTTACTTTAATCGTCCTGGAATCAAAGCATATATCGCATGATTATTTACACACCCAATTCACCTCCCCTAAAAGTCGTTCGGTTGTCTAAACACGTGTATAATAAATCCGGGCTCTTTTTAAAAAGGAATTCAGATTGCCACTCTACGGAAAATGCCCCTCAGTAACGCGCTACACTACCATCAAATTAATCCGATGTTAGGACAGCTGACAAGGTGCTTATGAAGTACGCTCGGGTTGCGAAGTCGGAGAAACGATTTCGGATTCAATCCAAGGGTCGCGGTTTTATCGCATTGTTCCGAATGACCCCACTTTTTGAAACATAAGGACGCGCAGAATGATTTTTTTTAGAGAGACTCCTTTCACCGAGTCTTCAAGCCGAAAGGAGGGAAAGTTCCGGTGTTCCAAGAAGGATTTTGTGTGCTAAAAGCAGTTTAGCTTGAAAGAAAAGCGAAGAGGGGACGAGAAAGAGCTTGTTCGGGCGTCGCTACAGATTTGCTGGCTGTGGTCCAAATCGGTAGGTTCCCCTTTTCCTCTGTTGTACCCCGAGGTAGAGGCAGCGTCAGGGACCCTTTTAGGACATCAAAGCCACGGGGGACAATCAACACTCGTTCCTCATCCCCGCACTCTTCTGACACAGAGCCAGCTGTTTCTTTTATTTCGGTGTCACCTCCACCTTTAAATTCTGTTTCATGTCAACAGATCTTTATCAGCAAGATCTTTATCTGTCTCTCTTTTTTTAAGGAAAGGAGTGTGGGAGTTTGCAGCCGCTTACCTCTCCCACATTTCCCATTCCCCTCAAAGGCAATAAACCAGAATCCTATTTGAAAATAAAATCAAACAAAAAGAGGACCAACAAATCTAAACAAACTGAACAGGCTACTCTGGAATGCGTAAACTAGATTGACTGAATAAATGAATAAATAAATAAATGGAGGACATTCAGACCACAGGCTGCTCTGGAATGGGTAATGCAGAGCAAACGAAATTGAAAAGAAGAATAAAAGGAAGGCTGAGGTTGTAGCTCCTCCCCTAAACATTCTTAATATTAGAAGTAAGTCCCATTGGGCACAACTGAACTTATTTTGAAGTAAACACGCATGAAGCCGTCCACCCTGACTTGGCTTTAAGCCCCATTTAAGCCCCAACTCTGCAAAATTTACTTCAGAGTAAACACCTAGATTCTTGCTGGAAATTTTCCATCTAAGTATTTTTGGACTTTTAAAGATACAGCTTCACGGTTGTACTGATGTCTCAGGAATGAAGATAGAATTATATCGCTATAGCCATACTTTGCTTGTAGTTAGGACTAATTTTGTCCTGCCCCCCCCCTTTCACTTTCCAATTTTAAGGTTGCAATCCTATGTCTCGCATGTATTATATTTTCTGTGTGACCCAGTCCAGCAGAAGGTGACTTGGAATTTTTTGGAGATTGCCAAAAGATAATTCTCAACAGCCTCAGCCTGGATGGCCATTTGTGGGCATACTGGGACTTGTCCTTTGGTGACATCTGAAGTGCCTATCCCCAGAAATGGAGATAGAGAAGCTTGAGAGAGAAGTCGAATCACTTTATTTATTTGTACTTTATTTTGAAATACAGTAAATTACCCTTTCACTAGGATTGGTGGAGATTCAGGTTCAAAATGTCATTTAGTTACTAAGTTTGGTGGGTGATTTTAGACAACTTACACTCTGGGTTTGATCATGTTTTTGTCTAAGATATGGTGGAAATCCATGTACGGTGATTAACTGACAGTTCTCTGTCAACCCAAAACATTGATGTAATTGAAGAAATCATGGTTAATTTCATGATAGATAAAAAATAGCATGCCAACGCAGATATACTCTCAATTTAACTTACTTGACAATGTTGTCATGAGAACACAGGTGAGAATGAATATTTATTTAATATAAATATTTATTTCCCAATTGGTATCTTTCTGCAAAAAGGCATAAACCTCCCAAACTGAATGAATATAGTTCTGCTAATGGATTACAAAGTAGAATGGGAAAAGGAATCCACCTTTAAAAAGCTGTTAAGGGGTTGTGCCAATCTAGCTACATCAGTGCTGGGTTACAGCCTGTTTACATCTTCCTCCTAGGCACACTCAAGCATACCCCCCCCCCACTTTCCATAGAATATACTGCCAAGAAAGGACTTGCCTACATTTGGGGTTTAGCCCAGGTCAGAGCCGAGTTGCAGTTGATTTAGCCAACAGCTGTGTTATAACATCTGTGCTGAAAGCATCTGGAAATGGGACTATTTCTTTCCCCCTTCCCACATTGCTTTTTGCCTGGGTCAAGTTCCATCACTTTGAGAATAGGACAAAGGCTGCTGAAACAACTTAAGATTGGGGGACGGGGGAGAGAGAGAGGCACAGAGGCATCTACTTTACCGATGTTCCAAATCCTGACCTAGTCTGCAGCTTTCACGTTTAAATACCTCACGTTCTTTTGGGGGGGGGGGGCGGGGGGAGATGGAGAGAAAACATTCAGAGGGACCATTAGCTAATTACTCAGCAAGTGGTTCCCTCCTTCTAGTGTTCTGGTTGGCCCATAGATGCAGTTCCATGAGCATTTTGTCCCACTGACCCACTTTCTGCTTCTCCTGCTAGGCAGCACCACCACAATATTGCCCACAAGCTTGAAAAATGCCTGGAGGAAATGAATGTGGCTGGCACATAGATGTCCCTTCCTGTGAGCTAGAAGTTGGTTCCTCTTAGTTTGTTTTGCAGAATAACTACCCCTCCACCTGCTGGGCTTGGAAGCTTACTCCAAAGTCATACCTCCTTCTGGTTTTGCTTTAAGGGAATGAGCTTAACAGGCTGACTGCATTCCCATGACATGCCATATCCATGGTTAACTGACCCATAAAGGTTTGCTCAATTAACCCAATTTTCTGGAAGGACAGCCTGAATCATAAACTCATCACATGAGCTGGGCTGGCACAACAGACGGAGCTGCAATGCAAGTGGCTAATTTGTGCCTTCCTTGTATTGTCAGCCATGGAGAGGCAAACTAGCACCAGGAAAAGCTAAAGCACAGACTAGCAAGACTCTCTGAGTATCAGCCAGCAGTGCTGAAAAAATATTATCATAGCCCAAGAGTTAGGGAAGAGGAGATTTGCAGCCCTTCAAATGTCGCTGAACTACAACTCCCAGCAATGCAAAATGGATGCTGGGAGTTATGAAGAACTAGGAGCTCCCCTCTCCCCCACCGCCTGGCAGGGGGCTTCACCTCCAGCTCCCTGGAGCACTGCAATCTTTATTAGACTGCCGTTAGAATAAGGCTATGCTTCCTAAATTATGCATCCTGAATGCCAGACAGTCTGACCCTACTGAAGGCAGTTTTGCAGCTTTCAGCCAGTGGGGCTTACTTCTCAGTGCAGGAACTAGATTCACACAGCATGCTAAGCCCAAACTCAG